TACTTTTCAGTGTTAAAATCCACCTTAAGGCATTATCAGCATCAACAATTGGGACAGTAAGTACCTGCTGTCAAGTCTTGTCTCATTCATTCATAGCTGGACACTTTTTTTTCCTAATATGTTTTGCATTGGACCAGTACCTAGCTGGCATTCATGTACTGCTTTGTCCTTTACAAAAAAACCAAAACCAACAAAACCACAAAACAACAAATAAGTACCGTTAAAAGGTGACTACTTGATCTTAAGAACACATAGTTACTGTTTTTGTGAAATACTGACATTTCCTGGCTGGTACGTAAATGGATGCTCAAGAGGACCTGTGTGTATGCCTATATACCTGAAATTCCTTTAGTGGGGAGGACAGAAAGAAAAATCCGCCTGTTGCTACTTCAGAGCTGATAACAAGCAACTTAATATTTATTTCATTAGGCAGAGGTTTTTAGCCTCCCACAACATGTTACGTACAAGCTAATCTGTGCTAACTGAAGATAAGATGGGAGGGCCAAAACCTCAAGTAAAGATTTGGAGTGCCAAACCTGACTTAAAGTTTCCAAAGTAGTTACCTGCAGTTTCTGAAGCAGGCGCTAAATAGACATAATAGCACTTGGGTTTGGACACTTCCATTCCAGAAACTGCTATTTGACCTCCCCTGCCCGCTGCTGCTGATTGCTGCAAAGAACTGTAGTGGCCAATGTGTCCTGCTGTTCTCTGGTAATGAGACCTTGCTCCTTGGGTCAAGAAAATGTAGTGGAAAGCATCATTGTGGAACCTGCCAGGCCAGAAGCATCAGCAGTAAAAAAAATAGGTGAGGAAGGAAAATACAGGACATTTTCGTAGATGTAAAACATCATTTAAATCATTGAGGAAGGCTCAGCTGCCCAGATTTCCATTGCTTTAGTAGCTGGAAATAAGCTGTGCTGTGAGGCAGCCAAGCAGGCTGGTGAAGATGAGTTTCGGACATTGCTTCTGCTATTCATAGTTCTCAGGTACAGGTTCATAGTCTCCAGTGGATTTTGCATATAAAGGATGTTTAAATGGCCCTTGGTCTGTTTTACATTTGTTACAAAAATGTTGCTCTTAAGCTCTTTAGAAAGATGTTTGCAGCAAGAAAAACATTCAATATTTCAACTGGAAGGTAGAGGTAGAAAACATGGCTACTTTACACACGCTTCCTACAGCTTTTGTTGTTTCTTTGAAGAAACATCAGCTCCCTGATTTTTAGATGTTCACCTTCTATCCATTTGTCTTATATGACCCCGATGATTTAAAAATAATAATTAGTCCAAATTATGACCTGCATCATATACTCAAGGTGAGGATCTCAAATTACAACAGCACTTCTGCCTTTACACCACGTAGTGAGATTTTTTGTTTAGTCACCCAAATATGTGGGTACTGTTTGGTTCTTCCCGTGATACACAAGCAGAGAAGGGGACAAAGCAGATAGCACTGCTGGGGGGACGTGGAAAGTACTGTAATTAACAGCATCAACAGCAAATGCTGTCTCAATTTAGCAGCATCCTGCTAGGATCTTGCTCTGGGTCATAATACCTCGTGATGCTGCTGCTTTCTTCCTGTGTCCGAACCTATGTGGAAAGGTTTAATCTGACTTAAGAGTTTCTTCAGCAGTGGATCAAAGAGGAGGAAAGGAGTTTAGAGTCACGTCAAGCCTGTTCAAACGTGTATGTAAAGACATGGAAGGAAAGTGAGCTGGATTAACCTGGTATATAGCCGTAATTCATAGCTACTTCAAATAGAGCTTCTGGCATACATGGGACAAGAGCTTGTCTCTGAATTAGTGTTGTTATTAACGGCGCTGGTTCAGTTTTAGAAGACAACATCTGAAAATGATGCAGGGGAGCTGGCTGAGCTCTTAATTAGATACAGAAAGGTGCGTCAGAAATACAGCAAGGTGATGGGCAGTGACTTCTTGCAGTGTTATTCCCTACGGTTGCCTTTGTGCACTCCTGCAGTTAATGAGATACGAGGGCCTTGACATTGACTCTGTGTTGTGTTAGGGCATGGAACAATTTGTTATGTATTTGTAGATCCCTCTTTCATTTTCTTTTTCTTAGAATGAGCTAGAAACTATGTAAAGGGCTCTCAGAAAATGATGGTTGATGGTAAGCATTGTCATATAGTTAAGCAATCATTTTCATCCCACTATTTTCCAAATATATCTAATAGCAGCAGAGAGGAATTTCCAAATTTGTTGAGGTGGTTTTTTTACTTGTTTGTTTCTTAAATGTATACGTTTGCAAAGTGGTTTGCAGAGATTACTGCAGTTCCTGCAGTGAAAGTTTGCATTTACTCAACTAGTTTGCACTTCTTAAATGTTCTAGATTTGTTGCTACAGAAGTAGGAGGAGAAAATTTTACAGCAGGACTTCCTGTATTCTTGTAAGGTCTGTGTCTCTCTATTCAAAATAAAACCTATGTCTTTCTGGTTCTGTGTTAACAAATTCCTAGAAAACTGTATGAATTTAGTTTAGGCAGAACTTATGGCAAGACGTGATTTTGGGGCAGGTTTGTAAATCTTAAGGAACGCCTTTCAGATAAAAGAGTTCTTAAATCAGAGGCCGATCTTTCCTTTTATCAGGCCATTCATCGATTATCTGCTCCTAGTACTATGAATGTAAATCCTTTCCAGAAACAGTTTCATTCACCCTTGTGAGGCTGTCAGGTCTTTGGTAGCATATACTTACTACCTTAGCAGCCTGCAGGGGTTAAATGGATGTCTAGGAGAGAACAACATGACAGATCCCACAGGGTCGTTTTGGTTTCCCCTAATGACAGGGAATATCTCCTAGCAGGAGAAGCAGTTTCTGTTTTTCCATGTGATGCAAAATACAATTACAGGATTTCAAATTACTAACTGAGACTTGACTGGAATTTAAACGGGCACTACCCAGCTTACTAATTGAATATATATTTGCAAGTCTTTTGTAATTTTGCATCCATGGGAGAGAGGAACCAAAAAGGACTGTTTTTTCCTAGCTCTAGCAGAAATGAAAATTAGGATTCAACTTGCAAAGCTGAAGTTGCATTGTCCCCCTCCTGGAGATGAGAATAAGTGCGAGAGAGGGCCAAAAGAAAATTTTGTTCCAGCTTTGAATTTTACTTCCATTTATAGTTTGAATTTGTCAAACGTTGGTCCTATTTCCATAAAATTGAAGTTAGCTGATTTCTTCAAAAAAACATTCATTTCAGTTTTAAAGATTGCACTTACTCAGCACCATCTAGTGGAGTGACTGCTATTGTCATTTAGAAAACAGCTAGTCTTCGTAAACCATATAGCAAATTAGAGCAAGCGATCCTTATAGTGTGAATAATGTACTTGAAGTATGTTCATGACTATGTAACAGAATCAGAAGATTAGCAGTTGTTTAGTTGAAAATGAGTGCTGTGAAGGATAGAAAGTTTAAGAAGTAGTGGTGCCTGCGATCTCCTGTGTTCCTTTAGTCCATCGAGCTCCAGCGTGCTTCTCTGCCTTACCATGCGATGCCATCCAAGATGTAAGCTTCTCTAAGGAAGAATTTTAGAACACTATTTCCTTGTGCAGCACCACACAGCACAAATCACTGCCTAGTTGTCACTATGATACAAATGATAAATACGACCTGGTGCTAACAGTGAGCTCTGAAGTCCACATTTGAGGGAAATACTGTGGAGTCTAATTTAAATGGCAGGCAAGGAATTCAGTGTTTGGCTCTTTGAAAATACCTGATTTCATTTAAAGAAAAAAAAATCCCTTGGGAAGACCTCCCTATAGAGGGCACATATGCACTCAATAGAAATGTCAGGTCATTCCAGCAGCTGCCTCGGGACTTGGGAAAAGATAAGGGGTCTGAGGCTCGGGTCTTTGAGGGTGCATGGGAATAGGTTTGCTTTCTCCAGCTCTAGCAAAAAGGGCTCAATCTGCAGAAAAATGAATGTGTCTAGAAGGATTGGGTGTTTCTGCGGCCGTGGCTACATCACCAGCATCCTACTGCTCTCTCTTACATAAGGTTTCTTTGATTTTGCAGCTCCTGATGCAAATGAAGGGAGAGCAAAGGGGGAGGTCTTGAGTCTCTGGCCAGAAGATCCTGACAAAAGCCGCAGAGATACAGGTTAGGGCAGGCAGCCAGCACGCTCAGTGACACTGGGTGAGCACCAGAGGCAAAACCTCCCTCCAGTGTAAGGAGCAGCGAGCATCACTGAGAGCAGGGGTAACTATGGAAAACAGGAGCAAAGCAAAGTTGCATGATAGCAAATGCACGAAGTTGGAACATCCTCCCCTTTAAACTTCCTTGTGTTTTAACATTTCATCACTTTAGGGTCTGTTGGTTTTGTTCAATTCCCATGTTTTGGACAATGAAAATAAGTGGGTCAGTTTTATTTTGTAAATTTGAATGCATTAGCACAACAACATTGTGCTGAGGTTTCCAAAAACGCTATTCTTAAATAATTCAGAGAAGCATTTCATTTCATTTTTCCAAAATCTAAATGTGCAGACTAGTTCGTTTCCCAGGTTTAAGGGAACCCAACACTTAAAAAGCACTCTTTCTTTTCTGAGTTTTTAATGTAGTGCAGTAGTCAGAATATCACTTGTTTGCTGGCCTCCTCACAATATTGCATTGCAACATAACCTCTCCAAGCAGAAGTGGCCGATTTTTCAGATGAAGAAAATAAAGGTGTAGGGATTTTCCTTTACAAGTTTTAAGTTTGGGACAATAGCTGTGCATACTGATTGTAGTGTATGTGTTCATCCAGTTGAGCAGGTGCAATCCTGTTTGAAAATCCACTTGGCCCCCACTGACTGCAGCAGGAAACGTGGGTCTGAAAAGGTCATAATGTTTAAGTAAATGAATTTAGTGTCAGAAATCCTGTTTTGTTAGAGGTTTGGGGATAAATCCTACGTGCTGGAAAATACCCATTTACAAAGGACATGGCCTCTGCTTTTGTAATAGCTGTGAACCAAACATTAGCATATGGGAATTCAAGAAAATGCTTAAAATAGTTTCCTCTCTTTCTGTTTCTCCTCTAGCTCTGGGATTGTACACAGTAAATGCAGTATATGGAGATACTATTACTATGCCTTGTCGTCTAGAAGTACCAGATGGTCTTATGTTTGGAAAATGGAAATATGTAAGTATAGCTTACCTTTACATTCATTAGAGATGGTATAAGAAGATGTGTATTTTTTGTGTGTGAGATTACAAGACTCCAATCGGTAGGACTTCTGCCTCAGATACGAAGACATTCATTCCTGTGTTTGTAAGGCTGCAAGATTCCAATCTGCATAATTTCTGCCAAGCATAGATTAGAGGTTTGAGAAATTAATCTCATTGTTCAAGAGAAATAATTATTCAGGAGTTCTCTGCCAACCTGTATTAGAGATCTGGCATGTTACCCGGTGGTGTCTCGCTCGCTTGACAGAGCCATCGTTGTTCATTTGAATACTTTTGAAGTGGGTTGCCTGAAGCAGGGCGTGCTTCATCCCTGGGAGAGCGCTGTCCTCGGGTCTGGTTGATCTGACAGTCGCTCAGTACTGTTTCACGCTTCAGTGTGTTTAATGCACAGCAAAGAAGAGGGCAGACCTGACCTTAGTAGAGTTGCTGGTGGTTTCACTCTGCCGTTTCTGGCACATGGAGAATAAAGGCAAAAATGCCAATGGTCTCCTGGTTGTCTCAGCCTGCAGTAGGGTGCACTTCTCCCATATGTGATTGGTATCCGGGACCAAAAGGAGAATAAGCATATCAAAGTCAAATGAAACCTGGAAGCATATGTGGAAGAAACCGCCAGGATACCAAACCCTTTTTGCTTCTCAAACTGACATCGGGACAACTGGTTTTCCTGCTTGTTCATATAAATCTTCTCTCATGCTCAAACCAAAATGTTACCAGCAATAACAGGTGATGTTTACTCTGACAGCGGATTTAAAATTACATAGTTCTCTCTCTCTCTCTTTTTAAATGGCATCCACCTGCCTATTTTACAGCAGACTTCTCTGCCACTGGGGATGTTTCACAATCCACCCCTCCTGGCTCCTTCCCTTGTACGTGGAAGTTTGCAGCTTTTGCAAACCTCATCCACTCCTGCTCCACAAACATGTTTTGGGAAATGAAGTCAGAAGTCTGTGGAGGACGTTTTCCTAAAAGGGACAGTGAAACTGTTTCATATAAGCATTTAGAAGATGCAGGACCTACATTTTGTAATGTGCTTTTTAGTCTGCTGACTTTTCTTGGGAAGAAGTCTTATCTGTATGAAGAGCAAGGTTATTTTGAGAAAAAGAAATGCATTATCTCTTTCCAGTGTGTTTGCATTGCTCATCTCAGACAAGTACGAAGCAGCACATGGAGATATTATAGCATCTTCTAAATGGAAAGGGGCACAAAATCTAACGTGCAGAAAAGCCCGTCCAATTGCTATTGGATGAAATTGTTGACACAGCCCATGCAACCAAGTGAAAGCGATATCTGTTCTCCCAGGGCAGCTCCCAGCATGGCAACACTTGTTTTTAGCATGGGGAGGGTTTGTTTAGGGTTTTTTTGGTTGGGTGATTATTTCGTTGGAAGAAGGAGGAACTCCGTTTTCTGCTGTGCTGCCTTGGGAGCAGCCATTTGGGTTGCTGGTGGGAGCCCAGGGGCACTGGGAGACTGGCACCGTGGCACGAGCAGGTGTTGCTCCCTTCAGTTTCTGCCTGTGTGTACTGGTGCCCTGGGTAGGCTTACGGGCACTTGAGAGCCAATTTTGTGTGTATTGAGTCAAGGCAATGCTTGCTTTCCTGTGTGACAGACGTCTAGAGTAATCTGAGAGTTAAAAGTGGGAGAGGGACAAAGACTATAAGGGAATTTAAACTTCGCGTTAACTGTTGCCTCCTGCTCCCTGCCCGGCTCTGACACCACTCATCTCTTGTCACAACATCGTCATGCTTTTGTGGGCTCTGCAGTCAAGCTGAGATATTGTGCTGGGAACACTACTCGCATCAGTGGTACAAGGGATAAAAGGGAATGAAAATCTCTTCCTGCCCCCAGCACAATACTGAACGTAATGGTGGAGTCAGCCTTTCACCTCACTTTAAATAAAGGCAGACAGTGCCTGTCCCTGCTTGGGGCAGGGAGGGAATGAAGTCCTGCAGAACTCAGCCTGTAACTTTGTCTCTCATAAAAATAAATTTTTTATACGGTAGGTTTGTGCAAGGCTGTCAACTTTGTATTCCTGCTTAGGATGGCAACTGCATACTGATTAATATAAGGAGGATGTCTAGAAAATGATATTTTGCTGATTATTTTGAGATGCCTAAATAACAATATTTGATTGTATGTATATTCCCATGCCACAAGCTCTTGGGTCCTTTAAAAACAAAGAGGAAAAAAACCCTAAAAACTAATTTAGAATAAAATAGGCAGTTATGCCTGATTAAATCCTGCATTTGGAATGAAGTCTGAATATCCCAGACAAACAATATGAATATGTAAAACAATCATGAAAAAAGGAAACTGAAGCTTTCGAGCCTAGCTCATGAATGCTTCTATTTCAAATACTTTTTAACACAGATAGACGCAGGTGGTGCCAGAACCACCAGTCTTCATCAGAGAAAGCCCCATGCTATGCTGAGATTGAGCCCAAGGATTGAAATTATTTCTGCTGATGATATTCTCAATGTGTACCACGGCAGTCCTAAACTAGCTCTCATATTACACTGAATTTCTTGTTTCTAATGCAGAAATTAATCAGGAAAAAAGCCATCTGATGTAGTTTTCAGATTTTTTTTAAATTATGGGTTTGTACCAATTGCAGATCTTCAGAAGTTCTCAATGAGTGTTTATGCAAAATAAACTGTTTATCCTTTTATTATAGGAAATGCCAAATGGATCTCCAGTATTTATTGCCTTCAGATCATCAACAAAAAAAAATGTACAGTATGATGATGTACCAGACTACAAAGACAGGTTGAGTCTCTCAGAAAACTATACATTATCCATCAAGAATGCAAGAATCAGTGATGAAAAGAGATTTGTATGTATGCTAGTTACAGAAGATGATGTTTCCGAAGAGCCAACGATAGTCAAAGTCTTCAGTAAGTAAATCTAGTTGTTACTACTGTTAACATTCATCAGCATCTGAATCGTAAATTACGGAAACTTCTGTTTAAGGGAAAGATTAAAGCCAAGAAAGTAAGTTTGGCTGAGTAAATTACTAAGACTAGCAAATTTCTGCAGCTTTCAAAAATGTAATCTGCTGGTGGCATTTACGTAACAGGACTGCCTGCACTTGCAGTTTATTCATGATAAGTGCTGGCTCAAAGAGAATTTTAGGCTTTGATAATGACTCACTTATGTGATGTCATTTGGCCTTGGAAATGAAAAATGTAAAATTAGCACTGATTATTTTCCATTTGTTCTCCGAGTGAATTTTTCTGCAGGAGTGAAGCATTAACTGTGTGCGGCCTGCAGGATTAGATCAGCGGGGAAGTTTAAAGCAGCTCCAAGCAGCCAGTGTGCAACAGTATGCACTGTAAGGGGGAGAGCGAGAGGCTGAAAAATTAGTTTCTAGCCCAAAATGCTTATTTCATCCCCTGCTGAAATACCAGGAGGAAGACCAGTCAGCAGTTCTCCTTTAGAACACGACAAAGTTTATTGGCCTTTGATATCACTACTGACCCGATCAGAAGGCTGATCCGCAGTGCAAACCGGAGAGCCCTGAGGCACAGTCCTGCTCTGAGCTCGCACGGGAGTGGAAGGGCACATTTTTATGTTTGGGAAGGGGCAGCCTGATGCTTGGCTCAGAGAGAAGGTGTCGGGGAGTCGTCGGTGGTGTCTGGGCAGAAGTTTGTCAGTGGCATAAAAGAGTTTGAAGCTAGATCAGGAGTCAACAGTAATTCCTTTCCCTCGTTTCACTTTAAATTTGACTGCAAGAACAATCGAATTAATGACGACAGGGAGGAGAGTGCTCAGAGCACTCATAGTAAACACAGCGCTTCAAAGGAAATGATAAAGAATTATCATGTTTATTTATTGCACAGCAGTAAATATGTAGATGAGACAGTGGTATATGGTGAAACGAAATTCTAACTGCTTGAATTACTGTGTACTGTACTAAATATTAACACAATGCTAACTCAGCCATGGAGCACAGCTTGTATATTTTATTGTAGGCATTAATACTAATAGAGCAAGCCGCTGTTTACTAAGGAAGATAAGAATAGAGGATGCCACGCATGCAATATGGCCGACTGCAAGAAAATATGGCGCTGCAAGGAAAAATTACTTTTGCAGTTTTTCATTTTGAGTTCACAACTTTATTTCGGGTTGTCTTAACATTTCTTTGTGTTTAACTTCCTTGAGTCTGGTATTTGGCGTTTCGGTTTTTGTTATTGCTTGCTTGCTTGTTCTAATTACGAAAGAGTTGAGAGTAGCCTGCAAGCTTCATTTATTTAACCAGTGGAGTTTCTAAGTCATTGAATCATAGATACAGAGCTAGGCTGCAGCAGTGCGAACCCTCATAAGCCAAACGTCTTGTGTACCTGGAACTCAGCTGTATCCCAGAAGTCGTGACTGAAGCTGGGTTTCACTGGAGCTTGTCATGTCCTCAGCTGTGCTACCTGCTTAACTGAGAACTAACGAGCTGAAATGGCTCATTGCACAGGTACCACCTGCTAGTATCACTCGCTGGACTACTCAAACAAGCTCTACCAGCTTTCCAGATGGATCCTGTCAGCATCTTTTTTGGGAATTAGATGGCCAGTTTCCAAAGTGGAGCAGCCCAGTGGACAAGAGCTGCTGTCCTGCTACACCGATACCTGGCTTTTGCAAGCAGTGAGCTCTTTTTCCCCTATTATAGGGCCTATATAGAGTTGAAAAGTACTCTGGCAAGCTCTTAAGCCGAGAGATAAGCAGTGTGCTGAAGTTGCAAACCCACCAAAGTGAGCTCTGCTGTTGCCAAGTTTAAAATTTCTTCTCGCTTCAGACGCCGAGCATAGTAAATGCCAAATAAATCTTTTATAGTGAATTACCTTTTTGCACGTGCTGTGGCTGTGGGGATCTGGCAGCAGGCGTTTCCTTTCGGAGGCTGCTCTCGGAGAGCAGGTGGTGGCCTCTCAACTGAAGGATCTGCACCAGAGCACCCAAAATGGGGAGAGCGACACAGAGCAGAGGTCCTCTCCTTCCCTCAGTAGGAATATAGCAGGGGGTTCCAAAGCACAGTGTAGGTCTTCCCGAAAGGGTCCTGGAGGAGATGAGAGATGAAAGGAAACAAAGCCGAGGTGGGAGACGGCATTGTGGTTTGATCAGCTGGTGACTGTGACAGGCAACCAACTAGGTCTGTTCATGGGACCCAAAAATCTGAACCAGAAGGCCTGTTCATGGTCTTGTAAAACCTCATTTGCTTGAATTGACCTGAAAATGCTTTGTCCTTGACAAGTTCTTACAGAACCTTTAAAACTAACAAAACAGAAATAAACATGCACTCTTTTTTTTTTTTTTTTATCTTTGTTAGGCCTTTGAAGGAATTGCTATGGTCTTGGTGTATAGCTTTGACTGGGTTTTTCTAGTTTCTTGGGGTTTTTTTGCCACAAGCAAAGTTGTTTGAAAATGTCAAATGAATAGCTGCTTTTACTGCCTTTCATTTCCCTTTTGAGCTGTTCTTGTTCCATCCTGGCTTAGCCTTCCAAGCAAAAAATATCTGTGCATTTGTGCGCACACAAATACACGCGCACACATACACACACGTGCAGAGCAAATGGATTGTTGTGGAAACATGCAGGCTTGCTATCTCTGTGACAGTGGGAGCAGTACACCTGCATGTTAATAACTTCATCAATGTGTAGAGATTTTAGCAAGATGGTGTGAAGTTCACTTTGGGCTGCAGTTGCTGGCATACATTAATTCATAGAGACCTTGATTTGGGAGAAAGGTTCTGTAAGCTGGCATGGTTAAGGATGTTTCAGTCTGTAAAAGTGTATTATATGTACACTTATTTAAGCAGTACAGCTGGGGTGTAGAGGCTTTCTTCGGCTGTATAAACAGTGATTTATTTTTTTTCCCTTCACTCTTCCCCTCTTCTTTTAAAATTGTTAACTGTTTCTTTTGGAGATAAAAATTTGCATTCCGGGCTTCAGGCCAAACTATTTTAACAGACAAGTTATATAGTCTCTAGAAAGTAGGTTTTTATGATGGAAATGCTGATAGATCCTCCACTTCGGCAAGCTAAGAGGTCCATCTACCATAATAAAAGTAAATAAGAAGACATACTGGCACTGAAGAAAAAGTTTATTTTTTTTTTAAGAGAGTCATAACTAACTCAGAATCAGTTCAAGTAATTACACTTAATCTCTATCATCTGAATTTCTTATATGTAACAATCCCAGTTAGGAAAAATAAACATTAGAAGAATGATTAGGTTGAATTTGTTCCTTTATAATGTGACAGCTCAGCTACAGTAATATCCACAGTAAAGCTGCTTTTCTGTTGCTATAGTTTCTGTACCACTGGTTCCTTTTCCAGCCTGTGTGTCACATAAATCAGATAGATCAGATTAGGTTCTCTCCTCCCAGGTGCTGAACTAGTCTGCCTGGCTAAAATATGTGTTGTCAGTATGCATGGAATTCATTATGGAAAGTATGACACATTTTAAGGTGATGGTTTTTCCTTTTCAATCCATTTGCTAATATTGAGGTAGAAGTATCTCACTTTTTCTTCTTTTAATGGCAAAGCATAGGTAAGACTATGCCAGGCCAGATTGTTCTATTTAGTCTCAAAATCCATGTATCTTTTAGTAACCTTTTGTTTTTCAAATAGCTGTTTGTGCTCCCTTCACTAGTACTTTTATCCTATTTGTGTTTTAGAACAACCCTCTCAACCAGAAATCTTACATCAAGCAGACTTCTTAGAAACAGAGAAGCTACAAATGGTAAGAGCAGCATTCTCCCTCAAAGTTATGTGCCTGATGGTTGCCTGAAGTCCCTTTACAGTCAAAATGAAGAGAGGTGATGGACTGAGGCTCAGAGAGGGTGCATGTACGTGTATGCACGCACGCCTGTGAGAGAACGTGGTCTATAGCCAGCCTGGCCACCGAGCCACTACTGTATTAGCCCTGCCTGATGTGGCAAATGGGGGCCATCCTGATCTTAGACCCACCTCTGAACCCTCTTTCAAATTGTGCCTAAGCCTCACTGATGGGATTTGTCCTATTTTTAAAAAAAATGACTGGGGCTAAGCATTTGAACTTTCTAGAAATCTTTACCCAAAGCAGCATAAGCAAAAACAGAATTATGTTAAAACCTAGTGGAGAAAAATTGACTAATTCCTATGTGTTTTGCAGCTTGGGGAGTGTGTTGCACGAGATAGTTATCCTGAAGGCAATGTTACGTGGTACAAAAATGGGAGAGTTTTGCAGCCCGTGGAAGACGGTATGTTTCAATAATGGCCAGCATCCCTGAATCCACAGACAGGTGTATGAATGAAGAATTGTGCTTGTAAGAGTTGCTCTGCTTTAATCTAGTGTACTATTCCTTTGAGGAAGACTGCTTATATGGAAAAATGAAACTGGAAGGAAACTTTTAGGCCTTTCAGAGCACCCAAGCTACACCATATAATCTCTTTCTTTCAGTTCTGGCTTTAAAACCACATCATGGGGAGGAGGATTGCCTTGGTTAATGCTATTGCAAAGCTATTCTTGAGCCCATGTAGCTAGTAGAAACCTATATCTAATTTCCAACTTCTTATAAGGTATTAACTGTCTCAATTTCATACGTGTCCAATTTTGTGTTTTGGACCATGAAGATCATCATCTCCTTATACAGGTATTTATTTTCCAGGATATTTAGGAAGAACATTTATTTTCCTCCTCCCTTTCAACTTTGATTTTGACAGGCTGATCAGAACACAGTATTTTACCTTCCATAAAATAGAGAATACTTACAAGATTGTTAGAAATGTGATCCTAAAAATTGGGTTTGCCAGCATTTTTGAGACCTTCTTTCTGTCTTAGAAATTAAGCTGAGATTTGTATTAAAAAACCCCACCAGTTTGCAATTAGGTTTTTGTTTTGATTTGATTTAAAATATACAGTATGTTAGGAGCATGTTGTTGATAAAACATTTCTGGTATACGTCAGTGGCAATAGTAGAGGAAAACTGTACAGTCTCTTGGGTAATTTGTCATGTTGTTTGCGTGATTGCAGCCTGTAACAAATACAGAGCAGGCAACAAAATGTAGGAAAAAGGTTGCAAATTCTGTCTGTGTGACACTGAAACAGTATTTCCTTTTCAGTTGTAGTCATAAATCTGCAAAAGATTGTGGACAAATCAACTGGACTCTTCACCATGACATCATCTCTTCAGTATATGCCAACAAAGGAAGATGCAAATGCCAAGTTTTCTTGCATTGTGACATATTATGGACCATCTGGCCAGAAAACAATACAGTCTGAACCAGTTGTCTTCGATGTTCACTGTAAGTTATTAAAAAGCATCTATTGCTGTATGAAGTCTACCTCAGGGGAAAAAGCAAAATCAGAGATAGTTTACAAAATTATAGAGACATTGCTGCTTGGCTGTTGAGACGGTTTCTTCAAAGCTGGTTTGCAGCAAGAAGATCTGAATACATTGTCTGTGTAATTTTTACTTACCTTCAGATTTACTTGAGATTTATTTCTTTCTAACAGTAGAATCCTGAGTATCAAGATTGCATTGACAAGAGGAAAGTGGTAACCACAAAAAGTTACAATGAAATGGGCTTTTCAGAACTTTAACGGAAGTTAGAGTGGTTGATTTAGAGTGACTGTCCGTGCCCCCCTGAAATATGCAATAAATACACACTATAGCTTTTACTATACTCAGATGTTTTTCATTTTTGCAGAGTCAGTGCCAAACAGCTAACCCTGGCAGACTACCTTTGCGCACAAACACACACACACACAAAAAGTAGTAGTTTCTCTACAGCTGTAAGATGCTGATTTTTACATTTAAAATGTAGCATTTGAATATTGGATATATCAGTAGTACAGAATTTGTGTAAATAGTTACTTCCAGCTGGCCCAAGTCCTAAAGCAACTCTGTGTTACTGACTGAGATGGAAATTGTAATTCTCCTTTGAGTAAAGAAAACAGACAGTTGGCAAGGAAAGGTCAGAGAGAGAAAGTGAAAGAGGCATTTCAAAGTCTTGTAAAATGACACTTCTGAAGGACTGTAGAAGGCAGCAGGTCATAGCATATGAAGAGGATCAGGAGATATGCAAGATGCCCAGTCAGGTGTTATCTTTCTGTACACTTCAGGTAATACCTCAGCTTGTAAAAGAAAAGTCTCTGTTTTGGGAATGATGGAGTCTAAGTACACAGTCCAGACATCTAATAGGACCTTAGTATACATTGTGTAACAACTCTGTAATCCAGTTAAATACAAAGGAAATTAGTAATGCAGACCGGATTTCTGCAGCCAGCAGGTGTGCTCCATGGCCTTGAAAACAAAGTGGCAGCGTATGTTCTACCTAGATGATTAGTTGCTGCTTCTTCACATGTAAAGTTTGTTGAGCAACAGAATAGGGGTTCAGTTTTGACCTTGGTCAGATCAAATCAAACCTTGGAGCAGCTGCTCCTTGGTTTCACCTGGAGAAACCAGAGTAACTTAAGGTCACCGTTTCACCAGCTGTTTCTCCAGAAGGACAACTGGCAGTACTAACAGAGAAGAAAACCTCTGGGATAGTAACTGTTTTCCTTTGAAACAACATAGAGATTTCAAGCCTGCAGACACCAATTCCATCACTTTGAAGCTAGAGATTTGGTTTGGTTCTGTTTTTGTTTTAAAGTTGGGTACCAAATCTCACTGGGGGGGGGGTCTGTCATCTGTGGAGCCCCATGAGCGTGGATAACTCCTGCTGTGAATGTCACACAAGTGTAATGACCAGAAAGCACTTGTTACTGTTATTTGCCAAGAGATGCTCTGCTGTCCCCATTTCCCCACCACTTTCATGCACTAGGCTACTTCACCAGTTGAGGACAAGGCGCTTGCAGATTTCTGTGATGTATGTGCTATGTGCACTTGCAATTAAGAAAACGTGAAGGAAAAAGAAGGCTGCACAGCACTGCAGAATAGTCACTGCACCAGATATCACATGCACTCCGTGTTAAAGATTTAAGGCTTGCTGGACTAACTCTTTTAATCCTGGTCTAGTAACACACAATTTAATTAAGATAGTTCTTCCTCCAGAGATGGGCAGTATCATTGTACTGCCAATTAGCCAACAGTGGGAGGCAGGCACACCCTTCAGTACCAGATAGGCCTCAAGTATTATCTTTGGCTTTAGAGTATGGGGTTACCCAATTTCCTTTCTGAGTATTTTCATCTGCTGTAACTTCAATTCCTTACTCTGCTCAAATGCATCTCCAAATGAATTTTTGAAACTCTTTATTAATAGGCATCCAAAGCTTCAACAGATGGATTTCTTGACTGACGTTAGTTGATGATAATGACATGTCTGATGTGGTTTTGTTTTTTAATTTGGTTCAGTGATCCTAATTAGTTTCTTTCTCAATAAATGTGATTTTTTTTTTTTTAATGTGAGTCAAATGTAATGCAGATGGAAAAAAAATTACAGAGTCCAACTCTTAAGAAATGGAAGTCTGTCTTTCAGCCTTTTTTTTCAGATTGACTGTCAAAGCTATCATGTCGTCATAAAGATGACCTTGCTGTTCATTCTGGTATCTAGTGAGATTCCTTGCAACTTACCTATTTATCATAAAGAAAGGAGGAAAGCATGCTTAGAAGTATGCCTGCACAAGATGTTTTCAAAGACCTGTTCAGTCAGGGTTTAAGAAATGTTTTACTGGGGTTTTTTTAGCTCTGGGTTAGTACAGTCTCTAGTACTCAAGTGTTTAATAGCTAGCTGATATCCTGGAAGCAGCCAGCCACTGTAACCTAGTATAAGAAGAGTGAATTAGCTCCTGCCGAGATGGGTGACTAGTTGGAAATGGATAACTTAGCTCAGCTAGCAGTAGTTATCGGTACTTAACTTTGGGCTGTGGTTTGCAGCTGTAGCAAGCAAGCTACTGAAAGTAACATGAGTAATACAAGAGAACTCCTGGAGCTGGATGGGTAGATGGTATCTCAGATATCTAAATTACCTAGACTCCAGTTGTGTTGGGCTCTGCTCAGCATTAATCAGTGTAAAAAGATAACATTTGTCACGCAAACTTTCCAGTCATGCCCTGTGTTAAGGATCTGTCTTATCATGGATAAACTCCTTTACATAACAGATTAGACTCAAAGACACTTCATACTGATGCTGCTTCCAGCATTGGTATTTTTCTTGAAATTACGCAGAATGATGTCAGTTGTGGCCGTGGCAGGTCTGGGATAGCAGATTCATTTACTATATACCTAACTGCCTTTTGGTGCTGGCTCCCAGAATTTTGCTCTTGCAGAAAGCAGATACAAAGGTTTACAAAAGCACAAGTTAAAATGCGCCAAGCCAGGTATATGTGCCACTGAGAGGTAAAATATACCTTCACCAGGCTGCTCCTATTTATTAGTGAAAGCATGGGAGCACATTACTCATGCTAAGCAGCACTCAACATTGCATCGGACGCTGTGGCTTCCTGTCATCAGGTTGTGTCTTCCCCAGAAGGGTGACCTGTTCAGCTTAGAGAACAACTTAGTCTTTTGCTATTTACTCCTGTAGATTTATTTTTCTTTTCCAGCTTAGAGAATGAAATTAAAAATTCGCTCCTGGTTGATTGCAGTAGATAGAAGGGTAAGATATTCCTACAGGAAAGACTGCTGGTTTGCAAGAATGTGATTCTTGTTTAACTGTGTCCGGTTCTGTTCATCTCTGTGGGAAAACCTGTTTCAAATTAAAGTCCTGAAGTCTCTCATTATAGTTCATCCCTTTTCAGTCTTGAGACAAAGCCTAAGCAATTCCAGAGTATATCTAGACATTCTTTATGATAACTTTTTCACATTTGGTCACCTACACATAAACATGACAGGAGGAGAGAGAAGTTTCTGCAGCAGGCTAGCTTACCAGACAGCCCCCAAATGGGTTTTGGTGGTTTAGGTTTTTTTGCCCAGCAGCCACCAAGACGCGTGCATGTGATTCCTGGCCAGCTACTTCATCACATCTGTTGTATTCCACGCCAGCAGTGATGCTGGAGTTCCTTTTCCTAAGCAGGCAAAGCTGTGCTTCAGCATTGAACGTACTGAGAGGGAAGCTGTTTGGACATGGAAGGGAGCTGAGGCTGTTGCATCGGAAGGAGCGAGGATGCGGCTTGTTGAAGCCCGGCACCTCTCCTCCTGTGATGAGGAGTGAGATGCTGTGTTAGGGCTCTCGGTCATCGAGAGGCCACAGCAGAAAGCAGCTCCTGTTATTGAGAAATCCGATAGCAGAAGACCGACATGATGAATGCCTTAAGGGTCGAAAGGGCTGTAGAGCACATGCTTCACTAAACACACAAAATCAACTGTCAGGCAAGAGTTTCTCTGCCATGTAGATTTTTTTAATGTCTAATAAGGTGCACTGTACTGTGTCTTAATGCAAGACTGGCATCTTTGGAGGAATTTTATTTATTCGTTGAAATTAAAACAGTGAGAGTTATCTGCCCATATTATTTCCTTTAATTTGGTTCATTTTACTTTGTTTTTGAAAAATTATATTTAGGCTTCTACTTGGAAAGAATAGCATCTATTAAAGTATATTCTGTCTTTGCCTTAAAAAATTACCAAAGTATAATGTAAGTTATAGTTCAACTTCACTGAACATGACAGAAGTATGTTATGTTTACAGTTCTGTTGACTAAGTTAAGGGTCCTATTATGCTCACCAAATTCATCTTTCTGAAAGCTTGTAGTGAGCAGCATATAGAATAGGCTGAACATAGTCGCTTAGTTCATATTTCTTTCTTTTTAATGCAAGAAGGCTATTATCTAGTACTAACACAAGGCGTTGAGAGCTTCAGTTGTTCTTCAGATTGCTGCAGTCCTCTAAACAGTGAGCTTCACAGAGGACAAGTTAATCCCTCATAATGAAATCACATCATGAAACTATTCATACTGATCAGGGTGTTTTTTTCTTTTAAGCACATGACATGGTTGTAATCATTGCTGTTTCAGTGCCAGGTATTTTGACAAAGAAAAATTAATTTTTTATCATATGGCTTTTTTGCTCTTACTTCATTTGCAAAAATATAGAAAGTGTGATTAACTTCAATTCTTTATAAAAAGATCTACATGTGCAAATACCTTCACCTGCTTGATGATAAAATCACATACTCTTCGGCCATGAATATCATATGCATAGTGTTACTGTCTGTTGGCTTTGCAGAAATTCTTAAATGTGTACATTATTTTCACAGATCCAACAGAGAAGGTGACTATTCAAGTGCTGTCACAAAGCACCGTTAAAGAAGGCGATAACATCACTCTGAAGTGCTCAGGAAATGGCAACCCTCCTCCACAGGAGTTCCTGTTTTACATTCCAGTAAGTCCTGCCTCGCTGTCACTGCATAGTGAAACATTCTGTATCATCCCTTTCTACAGATATTGCTATGTGTCAGTGTATACGTGATTTTATAACAAATGAAGGAAGGAATTCGATGTGACTAAAACTGCAGATACATCAGACTCTCTGAGAACGCCTCACCCGAGCTGGCAAAATATTTTGAAAGAACCTCTCCTTCCCCCCACTCCGCCCAAAGTTTTTTAGATTTTGGACCTACTAAAAATTGTTAGGCTTCATTTCCCAACATCAGATATTTTGATAAGCAGTTTTGACAAAAGGGGTTTAGCACCTTGAATAAAATCACCTCATCGGTTGTCATAACAGCCAAAGATCCAGCAGTGAAAGTACAGGAAATTAATTCCGATTTTTTGGACTTTCACAGATGAATCTTCGTGCAATGTCGTTTAATTAATTAATTGGTGGCAGTGTGACAGGACAAATCTGTCAAATGCATAAGATGCAAATAGAGAAAACTACAGGCTTCCATTAATCTTCTTAGTATTGGTGAAATCCACGGACAGATGTGGCTTTATATTCTAAGATTCCTAGTCCTGCTTCCCGTGTCCTGTTTCTCTCTTCTATTTTATCTCCCTTTTTTTGTTCCTCCTGCAGTAGTGAGCAGAGTTGATCTTGAGAGAGGCCAAAAGCAGTGGCATGCTTTCAGGTATTTCAAAAACTGCATGTCGCACTTTGAGCATAATCCTCATCTGGTTTGGACTCCTGGCATGTTTGAATTGCTGAAGAGCAGCAAGGGAAACTAGGAGCTGAAGTCCTCTTATCTCAGAACAGCCATTTAGATTTAGTGAGTCATTCTGGGAACTCACTATATGCCAGGGGAAAAGTGTATGGTATCTCTCCTCGCTCCAGGATCTCAGTGAGTGAGCTAAACACCCCAGTTTGTCTTATCTTCAGTCTCCCTAATACTAGTCCTTTCTCTCAAGGAGAGCTGGAATTGGTGATTTCTTTGCAAGACTCACGGTTATCGTAAATCTCTTTCTGGATTCAGAGATAGGAATTGGGGTTTCATCCTATGCTTTTTTTCTAAGCTGATCAAAGTCAGTCCTAATTGGGTAGAAACTGGGGAACTGGACAGCTAGAAAGCAACACTTTGGCTAATTTAAAACACCAGTTTCTATAGGTAACTACAGGCTCCGTACCATGTTATGGATAGATTCAGGTTGGTTTGTGCTGTTTAAAAATGTGTAATGCAGCACATTTTATTTCATGGTTTTTCCTAAACTGAATGTATCATTTCAGATACAGATTTAGAAACACAATTTGTTTTGCTGTTGTGATTTCTTGAACACTCTTATTTGTAGACTGCTTCAGTCTTTTGTTCCCATTTTTTTCTGCTAAACTTTCAGATTTTTGTATTTTAATGTCCTCTTAAAATAAGTTAGTCATTAAGTTAAAGAGTAAGCTTTTAATTGTAGGTGTTTTCTAAAGCTATGTCATCGTGCAGGAAATAAGCCTTTACATTATTAATAGGCAACTACACTTCCATGATGCTGTGTCCACGTATTTTGGAGTATTTCAGGATCCTTATAACAATAAAAAGACCTGAAAAAATTGAATGTCTTTAGCAGGTCCATATACAATAAAAGTTTTGTTTTCCATCCACAGGGAGAAGCAGAAGGTATAAGAAGCTCAGATACTTACGTAATGGCAGATGTGAGACGAAATGCAACAGGGGAATACAAGTGCTCTCTGACCGACAAAAGCATGATGGCCTCGACCACCATCACTGTGCACTGTAAGTCATTGCATTTTGTACTCCTAGTTAGGCTACAAACCTATCTTGCACCTTCTGAGATGGTCTCTCTCTGCTTAACTTAGGTAGATTAGTCCAATTAACCTATGGGAGAGCTGAATGATGTGATCAGTTTAAAGGAGTGCAAGGTCTTTTTTTTTTTTGTCTTTTTTTCCCTTGCAATTTTTTTTGCTTTTTCTAATGTATTTCTGTTCAAAAACTTTAAGGTTCTCAATTCATTGGCTTAGATACAGATTCACTTTTCATAACTTTTGTATAGTATATGATGTTATTGCACTGTCATATACAGTGAAAATTCTGGTATTTTATCTTTCACTCTTGTGAACATATGTATGGCGAATTATTCTGCTCCAGCTGTTCCTTACAATGTACTCGAACACACAAGCTGGCCCACAGTGGTAACGCTGAAGGTCATTCTTCAGAGTCAAATTCACATGACCTTCATCGTACCTCAATGAGGTTAACGTATAAGGTGTCTAGAGAAGAGACTTAGGAATTCATTATGTTCACATAGAACAAGTTGCTTTTTTCACTTTTCACAGAATCATGAAACCTGCAGAGCTCAGTAAAGTTTCTTTAGTTGGATGCTACATTATTTACTCACACTTTATCAGCACCACTTTAAAAGCAGCCATTGAACTGGTTGAACCATTGAAGCAATGGTTGCTTTTCAATAGTTGTTTTTAATCTTTTTATTGTGAGAAAACAAGAGCAGGAACTCTTTCAAACTTTGCTATACTATCACAGGCTGTGATGAGACTCAGGCCAATGGCACTAGGTTTCCCCTAAAAACACTGATGGTCTGTAGTCTTGTTAGTAGCATAAATACCTTTAATGGTTTACAGGTTCAGAGAGACATGAGTAATGAAGTTTAAAGGCCTCCATACCAGTTATATTTTACATAAAAAGAAACTTTATGTTTGTATACTTGGCTTTGATTTTTTTTTTTTTCTTGGAAAACGTACAGTGCATGCAGAATATATCTGTACATGAATAATTACACTATTCCATTTAATGAATATTTTGCATCATACGCTGTTTTCCTACCTGCCCCTTCTCTTTGCCAAGCTCTCTGAAGAGAGCTTTGTACTATTGCTGCTAGCTGCCCAGTATCAAAGGTAGCTTGCTGGTAGTTTGCTGTGGTATAACTAACTGACCCTTGTATTTTACTCCAAGTGGATTGCATGTCTACTTGTACTTCCATAAATAGTTACTCTAAAGAATGGCTTCCTCAGCTCCAAGTTATTTATAAAAAGACAGTTTTCCTTTCTCTACTATTTTGTCTGCGTGTCAGAAGGGCTTTACTACACAAGAGAAGCATGTGTTTTCTTGACAGGAGTCTTTCCAGTGTTGGCAGGTAGTGCAACCACTCAGAACTCATGGGTACAATCTAGGACCCTACTGCTTTGCTTAGGGTTCATTTGGTTTTGTTTTTCTTAAACACCTCTATCTGCAGTAAAGCTTTTGCTCGAGTGAGGCACGGTGGCCTGGAGTAGTTCTGTAATTCCTGAATGCCCAGACCATGCCCTTACTTTAATCTACTTCGGTGTCCTGCCTTATGCTGGTCTAAAGTGTTTCTGCAGCATGTTTTCTTTTGAGAGGAACTCCTCTGAAAAAGTCATAAAACTTGTAGAAGCTTTATAATATCCTCCTTCATCTTTCAATTGTTTATATTAATTTTCCAGCATAACTCAGTAATATTGAGTGCTTTATCCTTCTAATGTACTTATATTTTTTTGGTGTTAGATCTTCAGATTTCTTTATGCCTCCACAATGTTTTTTGTCCTTCAAATACTATTTATTAATGCCTATCAAATCCTACTTTTTCTTCTTCTTTTGCTTTATTGCTTACTTTTACACCTACAGCTGAATATTCCTGTCTGTGCTGTTACACTGAAAAAGCCTTCATTCTGAGTCAAGGCTTTTCCTTTCCTCGTGTCCATTCTTAGCACTTTAGATTTTTTTATTTTCACTTTAAAAAAAAAAAAAAAACCTCACAAAACAAAACCACAACAAAGTCATCGATATAATAATTTTAGTTTAAATCTGTGAAACTATTTATAGCAATTTGTTACATTTCAGCTCTAGTGCTTTTTCCCAAACAGATTTTATTGAGCATTTTAACTCCACTGGTTCCTTCCATTGTCTAGGTAGTGCTTGCTGGTATGAAAAAATACATTAGCACATTATAGTTCTTTACTATTTTTTGTAGCAAAATATTCTGGCTCAATACCAAACTCTTTTTTGCCAAGATGAATGTAAATTATGAGATTCATAGAAAGCTGAAAATTTACAATAAAGCATCTGAGTTACCCATAAATTTTAGGGAAATACTTTATTTGTAAAACAAATTGAAGGGGGAAGAAAGAGTCTCTTCCTTATCCATGGAACGTAAAGGACACACTGGACAACCTGGGTTCTTGGCCCTCGGAGCAGGTGCAGAATCTGTGCAGCAAGGTCCTAATTTAAAGTCCAGCAGATCTGAGTGCTTGTTGTTGGCGTGATTCGTCCCTCAACAGAGGGAGCAACAGAACAGGATTTATGTTGTGGGTTTGGTTTTTTTACACCAGGTTGTTAATTTTCTGTCAGCTCTGTTCCTTGCCAAGGATCAGATGAGCAAAACTGGCAGAGGCCAGGAAGCAAAAGGGAGGGGGCCAGGGCAAAACCTGTTTACAACCACTTAAACAGCTGTAGAAGCACAGCTTGTGCGAGGCAAGGAAAGCACCTGGCAGTAGAAGGTGGGTGTACCTTCCCTCAGCTATGAAGAAGCAAGTGACTGTTTCAATTCACCAACCCTTTTCTTCATCTCTTGCCATAATTGTTTCTGCACATGGAGTAGGGCTGTGGAACTTCCTCTTAGTGATGCTTTCCTTTCTGCTAAAATGTGTTATCTAGGGAAATAAGTTTGCAAACGTTTCAGTAAATTAAAGGTTTTAGAAATTTAGCATTTTTGTTTCTCCATAGGTATTGTTTATAGTCTTTTCTTGTGCTACAGACACATGGAAAATACAGGGGAAATCGCCTTTTGAATGTTGCATGGAAAAAATCTGATCTCAGTACACTAGGAGAAGTGTCTGGCTGGCTGCTAGTGTGTTTGGGGCGTTCAGGCTACAGGCAAGTGCTGTGCATAGTTTTCCCAGTCGTAGCACAGTGTTCCATTGGAGGCCTCCTTTAAATGCTGGGAGCCTGTCCTATATGTGCGATAGAGTTTCAAAACTGAAATGTTTGCTCCAGTCTTCCCCACATTAATTCCATACCTCTCTCACATGATGTGTTAATACATGCAAAATGCACTCTTTGCCTCTTCCCTGTGCTACTTGGTATTCAAAGACAGCACTGAAATCAATGCAAGATTTCAGGTGAGACCACATTAAGAGCTAGCATATATTGAAAATGGTGCCTGATGAGAAATTTGTTTATGAAGAACATTTCAAAGCCAAACAGGAAATGTATGGAAAATTCTCACAACAAAGTTTTTCTTTCAATGGCAAGGAAAATTAATTTTTACAGTCTTCTGTATGCAAGAAATATTTTCTCCTCGTACTTCTGTACCAAGAAGAGTTTATTTACTAATAGAACATATAAGTTGAGAGGTAAAAGTATCTATCTACATCACATTTCTTTGTGGACCCTACAGATAAACTGACAGAACATTAATCCAAATCAAATTGCTCTATATAGAGTTCCTAGAGGGGATCCTATGTTAAACAGTAGCTTCATTCTGTACTTGCTTCATAAATCACCATACAAATATTGCTCTGAGCTATGCAGTTCATCTCGCACGCTGTAAATTTTCCTGAACTTCTATAGCAACCAAGACAAGTGTGTGAGAGGGATTGTAGTCTCAGTTATACCACAAAAAGGGGAGGGGTGGGGGGGGATGCAGGCATGCTACCCTGGAGAAGACTGGGTTGAAGGATTGTTCTGGGCTCAGTGTCAGTCTTGCTTGAGATGAAGGCCAAAACTTTAATGAGTTTTTGCTTACTGTGGTGTATGTGAGAGGAATCCTTCCTCTATGGTCTCTTCAGTGATCTCTTGGGTTTGAGGTGCTATCTTGCTTCAAAGAACAAAAGGGTAAGTAGATGTTGAAAGTAGGTCACCCTGGGGGGGGGAATCTTAGCTTTTTTTTCAACTACTCCTCTCCCTTGGTAGTTTGTGCTCAAGAGTAACAGAGCAAGAAGAAAAGCATCCCATGCACCACCTCAATCTATATACAAATGCTTACTAGATGAGTCTTGTTTTTTGGGGGGGTTTTTTGTCGTCTTTTTTCTTCTTGTGGAAGCAATGGTAAGATCTGGAGTACCTTGTTAGTTGGGTTGCATTTACTAGTTTGGGGAGGCAGGAGGAGAAATCCCCGTAGGAATACAGAAACATGCCATTTTATCTCTTTGGTAAGATCTTTGCTTTACTCATGCACAGATGAAAGTACAGTTCTTATGACCTCTCGGACTAGGCATTGGACTCGTAACACAGATAATAATGCAGACTAATAGTACAGGATGGACCCTACTTGTTCCCTGAAGTTCTGCCTTTAATTATAATGGTGTTCCCAGGGCAACCACTGAATGAAGCCAGTAGCTAAGTTCACAGTTTTGTTAAGGAAAACTCACTATTTTTGCTTTCCTCTACCAATTGTGATTTTGCCTTTAGCTTTTTTTAAACTCTGCTTAAAGGCCAAAAGGATATTTTGCAGTCCTTTTCCAGCAAGTGCTATGTTTGTGATGAAATCGTGTGGGGTTGCCATTTGAGTCTATGTGTGTCTGTGTGTGTGCGCGCGCATCTGTGATAGTCATTCAACCAGGCAACTTGGCTTACAAGCAAGGCACTGTGAGAGGGGAAGCAAAATAGAGATTTAGCTTGGCAAACTCTGCTTCTCTTTCAGTGTAGGATTTTTTTTTGAAGAAGAAGAAATCGCTAGCCTGCCAAATCTGTATACTAGGAAAAATCTAGAGCGGTGTTTCCTGACCTTTTTGTTTCTGGCTGTCACCCTGTCCTGTGTCAAACACAGCTGTCACTGACTCTGCAATTTCCCTGGAGCCAAAACAGAGTAGGCAAAGCTTGGACTCAAAGTTACACAAAAATGGCTAAGTTACAAATGAAAACAAATCAAAGGGCCTCAACTTGTTTTATCAGATTCGAGAAAGTTACCACTTGTCCTCCTTCTCTCTTCTCCCCACTTACTGTTTAGGTTAATCTGTCCCCACCTGCACGAGTCCTCCCCTGAAGATCCATTCCTACCTGGCCCCTGGCAAGCTACCCTCACAGCAGTCTGTGCTTCCCCTTTCAAGATGCACATACTGCTATGTGAAGTACTCCTTCAGCTTCTTGTACCTCCTCTGTCATTCTTTCAGCAGTACAAGGTGAAAAAAATTGTATCCATTTGTCTAGTGATTAGTGAGATTTTGCTTTTCCTTCTAGCCTGTAATTACAGTAAAAAGTGAACATTCTGCAGTGCCTATTTTAGAATAATTCTCTCTTCTCCCTTACTTGTAAAATGGATTTAGATTTTATCGAAGAACTGAAATCTTGAATTTAATGAGTGCAATTAGTCACATTTTCTTTCCTTAGTAAGCCTTTGAAATGGGCCAGGCATTCTAAGATGAACTTTTGACAAATGTTCTTTCTATCCTAGATTTGGATTTGCAGCTTACTCCTAGTGGAGAAGTCACCAAACAGATTGGAGAGGCCCTGCCTGTGTCGTGCACGATTTCTTCTAGTAGAAATGCAACTGTGTTTTGGATAAAGGTCAGTAATTCATCTACTTCACACTTCATCTGAATGTTCACCTCTTCACATTACTGCTGCTCCTTCAGTGTTTTGGAAGGAAGGAAGCCATTCATTGGGCTTTTTAAAGAACATTGTTAAAATAAGTCTTACACGTATTGCTAAAATGAGAGCTACGGACTCAAGTTCGTGACTGAAAATCAGTTAATTATCAGCTCAGTTTTCAAATGGAGAGGAATAATGCCTACTGTAAAACAAATACAACTTTTTTGAAACGGTCTGTACAAGGCCCTTTGAGAATCAGCTCCCTCTAAGAAGGAAAGCCTATTTGGATTCATTAATCGTTTTCTCAGAGGCAAGCTTGGTCTCAGTTCCAATAAACATAATAAAAGGGCAAGGCAGGTTGAGAGATCGGAGACATCAGCAACTGGTGTTCAGTGGCTAGCTATCATAGATGGTGGGTTTAAATTAAACTTACAGTGCTGGAAACTAAAAATAATGATACCTGATGGTTGTTTAGTAGCATATGTTGATCTCATACGCCTGGTTCCTAGAGGAGAGCTGTCTGTCTCTCAAACAGCTTGTACCACTCGTGTTTTTGTCTAGCCCACTAGAAAAGCTCAGAACTAACAATTGATCGCATCTGTGCCCTTGATTTGAAAGTGAAGTTGTTCAAGAAGAAGGGAGGTGGCTTTTATAAACCCCTAGTCGTTTCTACTTTTCATGCTGTTATGTTGCTGTCAGCTATTCAAATATAGTTATTAATGGGGGAGCACTTTAAGAGTGAGGCTCTAATCTACCAAAGGATGTGAAAAACTCTGCAGATAGTAGACACATTTGTAATTTAGAGGTTAATGTGTTCTGAGTTAGAATTCAGAGATTAACTCCTTACTTTATTAGGACAATACCAGAATGCAAACAAGTCCATCATTTTCAAGTCTTCAGTATCAAGATGCTGGAAACTACATCTGTGAAACTACTCTACAGGAGGTTGAAGGGTTAAAGAAAAGAAAGACACTTAAACTTATTGTGGAAGGTAAGGGAGCAGATAGCTATGATTATTAATTGTCCTGTTCAAACAAAACCATTAACTGTAATATTGTTCTTGTAGGAAAACCTCAAATTAAAATGACGAAGAAAACCAACACAAATAAAATGTCCAAAACAATTGTCTGCCATGTGGAAGGTTTCCCCAAACCAGCAGTGCAATGGACAGTTACTGGTAGTGGAAGCATCATAAATAAAGCAAGTATCTTTCTTATTACTTTATTCAGCAAAAGATGGTGCATAGGAGACGTGATTTAAAATCAAGGAACATTTTCCAGGCAGCGCGATTGAAGAAACTAAGTCTATTTCATTTATCTACGAGAAGGTTAAGTGGTAGCTGTAGCTACATGGTACTCACATGGATGATTTCTGATGATAAAGATCTTTTGAATAGAGCAGGTGAAGGCACAGAGGTTCTGCTGGCTACAAGCCGAAGCTGGAAGGAAAAAGAAACGGTTACAAGTGAAATATGCATTTTTAAGTGAGAGTACTTAGTCATTTTATCTGGGTAATGTGGTGATTTCGCCATTGCATAAGGAATTTACAAGTAATGATGGAAGTACAGAACTTAGATTAGACAGGAAATGGGTATGTGATGTAAGCATTAACTGAGTGAAATGAAATGTGGCAAGTGCTAAGTAAGAAAATACAGCCAATATAGTTCCTTATGGGCTTTGCAATTATCCTAACTTTTATAGTTGTTTTTGTATGGTTATGCTTGTTGTTTCTCACTGGAAACAGAACCTTAATGCAGTCATCCTGGGGGAGAAATAAGAAGTACCCATACACAGCAGGAAGAATACCTGGAAAATAAGCCAACTAAAGTATTTGTATATTGATTACCTAATCACATGCAAAGCATTGCTACATTTTGCATTAGCAGGAAAAATAAATGAGGCATCTATACAAGCAGTCAGAGACTGGAAGTACAATGCACAGTGCTCCTGTAGATTTCATTACTCCTTTAGGTTCCACTTTAATCCTACAGAAATTAGGTACAGCTGTCAAAACGTGTCCATTTACTTAAGTTATAGGGCAGGAATTACCTTGAAGCTATATAAGTGATTGAAAACAATTTTCTCTGGACATTGTATTAATCTGACAATGATGTACAGCAAATTTAAGGAAAAACTTCACTCGCTGTTACAGTACAGATACTGCAGGTACTACTAAACACATGTGGCTTGGCAAATAATGCTTAGTGTGGAAACAACTTGGAATCCCCAAAAGTGGAAAACTTACAGTGATTATTTTCCTTATAAAGACAAAAATGAAAACCAGCAAGATCGAAAGAAATTATAACATGGAAGTTTAGATTTGGATTTTCTTTGAGAATTTGGTCACTTGGAATATTTTCTAAATAGTTAAAAGAAACAAAAGCAAATACAGAATGTAGTTAACTTTCTCAAAAATGCCGCTTTGTCAGTGGTCTTACAGTGCATGCTATACAAAATGTAGCTATAACTGGATGTCTTGGCCAAAGTGTTTTCTAGCAAATATTCACATTACCGTTTAATAAAATAATGCATTATTTCAATTGTTATTGTTTGGAAAACTGAAATATTAGTTGAAAGTTATTTCCCTCTGATCATTTTCAATATGTGATGCAGGTAACACATATATTGTTCTTTGCATTTTGCAAGGATACTAATCTTCATTTTTTACCTTTTCAGACAGAGGAGACCAAATATGTTAATGGAAAATTTTCTAGCAAAATTGTAATTGCTCCCGAAGAAAATGTGACTTTAACTTGCATTGCAGAAAATCAGCTAGAAAGGACTGTGACCTCCCTGAACGTCTCTGCTAGTGAGTGTCTTCTAAAGACCATTTCCTTAAAGTTGTAGTTTCCCCTAAAATACCTACACTTCGCACTCATATGAAGAGTAGTAGGTCTGCATAGTAATGTTGATAGTAAGATATTTAACCATTTTGTCTTAAGTCAAGCAATCCAGTCTGGACCAGTAGTACATAAAATTTATTCATAACTTTCTGAATGAAGTCACTTAGTCTTCATTACTTTTTTGGCTATCTCCTGTATGCAATATATTACTTACTTTTAAAAATAATATTACAAAATATAGTACAAAAATATCACAAAATAATACATTACTTATGAAGAAGTCTGTATTTATTACTAAATTAACATCATCTTTTAGTCCCCAAATTCCAGTTTATTGTTACTGATAGGACTTGATTCAGAACAGAAATCAGCCATACTGGGTTTTAATCAAATGTCATTTTTTAATGATGAAGGGTGGTAACAAGCTACAGTTTGTGGAAGGCTAGCACAGAAATATTCAGTCAGAAAAATTTCTGAGATTAATATTACAGGTTTTGAATAAGATTCTTCAATTGGTTATGTATAGTTACACAGAGAAGACTTCTGCTTAGAGATAAAATTAATTACCTTGTTGTTTGGCAAACACTGATTAAGTTTCAGTGTTTCTGTCATTGCTACAAATAATAGGCAATTAAAGGTGATGTTCAGGTATAATACATTTTGTCTTTATTTTAAGTTTAACATTTTTCATTTCAGTAAGTATTCCAGAATACGATGAGCCAGAAGATAGAAATGGTATGTATGTTTTCCTATCTCCATAACCCTTTCTGTTGATTGTCTGAGTTCAAGACCTATGTAGTGTCACTGAACAATTTCCACAGTCTCTCAAAGTTGGACTAGTTTTGAAATAGCTAGTGCCATGATTGACTAAGAATGTGATTTTCTTGAAGTGTTAAATGTGTTTTTAAGAACATTGCCTACTTTTTTTTTTTAATTTTTACTTTCTGACCCCTTGTTTCTGATGGAAATTCTTTAGAAATGGTGTAATGCTTTGCTTTATCATAGATCATCTCATTAACTTTTCTTCTTTGCTTCAGATGACAATAGCGAAAAGGTTAATGACCAGGCAAAGCTAATAGTGGGGATTGTAGTCGGTCTTCTGCTGGCTGCTCTCGTTGCAGGTGTTGTCTACTGGCTCTATGTGAAGAAATCAAAGTAAGAATTTATGGAAAATTTGATACTAAATTAAAAAAAAAAAAGTAATAAATGGAAACGTATGTTTACCTGTTTTCCTTCCTGCAGCATTCCAGTAGTCTGAGTAGGGAAAAGTTGTTACATTTAATAGAGCATTTAATAGAGAAGGGAAACCTCTGATGAGCTTGTGCCAATGCTTAACAGGACACATCTCCTGGAGGTCAGGCTTTTCATAGATCATCAGCTGTGATAAGGTTCTGCCAAGAATCAGCCAAGTCTGTGCTGATTCTTGCATTTAAATTTAGTACCTGCTACTTGATTGTGGGATGTTACCTCCATGTGGCTTTACTGGTACTAGAAACTGTCTTCATTTAGAAGTTGAGTAGCTTGTTTGCTTTAAAAATGGAATAAATTACAGAATAAATCTAAACCATCTCAGGGAGAAGAGAGATTCTTATGTAATTGGTTCATATATACTTTGAGATCTCCAAAATAAAATTGGTAAAGATATTTGGACCTTGTCCAAATAAATACATTTTAGCCATCCTAGGCATAGAACAGGATTTGCCAGTGAGTCCTGCTTGCTTTTAAGTTTCTTTATTATCACACAGACTCACTTTAGAAAATGAACTGGGTGATCTCAAAAAGTAACCATGTTTCTCCACCCTTCTAAAGATGGCCATGATGATATGCCATTTGGCCCTATTCCCATAGATTTGTCTCCAGGGAGAACTGGGGGCAGGCTTCTTCTCTGAAGGGTTCCTTACAGCTGCTTCTTAACAGGGAAGGTTAAGGTAGTTATGTATCACATGCACAAATCAGTACAGGTATAGAAGCAATCTTAAAGTTCAGTTGTTCCTTCTATGATCTTTCATTAAAATTAGATCAAATGAGATCTAAAACACACCAGTGGGATTTTACTATGAACAAATGTGTTTTCATTGATGTGAGAGTAAAACGAGGAATTCTCCGTCTGCTTGCAAATATTCTTTTTTGGATCATACATAAGGGTTTTACTCCAGGCATAACTGAGTAGGTTTTGGAAGTTTTTCAAATAAAGAATTGCTATAAATTACCCAAGCTATAAATTACCCAATTGCTATAAATTACAGAACCACACTCGGATATTATACAGGGGAAAAATACATTTTTTTGCAAAGCTTATGCTTCTTTTGGTAGAAATTAAAAAACTACTGTTAACATTGAGTTCCTCATCCCACACTTTGCTACTAGTGTAATAGTGTCTAGAATAATTTTCTTTTGTCTTTCCTTTTGAATGTAAGAATGTGGAATCATGAAAGTGTGATTCACTGGTTTGGGTTTGTTTTGTTTGAAGAGGTGGTTTGGGTATAAGGAGGGTAGAGAAGGTGAAGTATCTTTTCCTAGTACCATATGTAGTGTGGGGAGAGCTAACAAGAATCGTAGAATATAGCATGTCGTTTGCTGAGATGAGTTTATGACTTAAGATAACTTTTTCAGATTCAAAGATAAATACCGCATATTCTAAATGGACAACACTTCTTTTCCTCAAGCTGAACTTCTACAAGCTTAGAGTAAAAATTAGAGCTAGAATTGATTAGACAGGTTCACTGGGAACAAAATAAAAATCCCTTTATATTTAAATAGCAGTCTTCATATTTGATACATGGTTGCTGGCCTCTGAAACCCTCAATTGATGCATCATCTCTGACAATCTCCTGTTCTCAGCATATATTTAAGTTGTTCTGTTGTTATCCTCCCTGCTTTCTACACGGCGTACTTGCAAAAGCAAGCAGAGTGTCAGTACCTATTCTGGCAAAGTTTTCAGCACGAAATATAGCCTTGAAATCAAAGTAAACCTTGCAAAAAGCACCTTACACCTTTAGACACAATGTGTGTCTGATCATGACCCCTCCATCTCCATACAGGCCAACAGTGTTAGTAGTTGTTTTTTGAACCCACCCTCGAACAGTAACTCACCTAATCTCTATCCCCAAAGTGACGCCAAAGGGAAGTCTGAGAAGGCAGCAGCACAGAACTTTCCAAGTCTGCCGAGGCAAGAAAAACATTACTTTTTTTCATTATTGGTGTTGTGGTTTGTATAATCTTCTATTGTCTTGTCATCCACACTAAGTAGGAATTATACTTGTAGCCTTGGAATACATTCACAATAAATCCCTTATATAGTTATTCACTGCCTCAGCTCCACTTGATGCAAAAGCTGATTATTGCCGCATATTCTTTTCACTATGAATATTATCCCATAAATCAGGGACTCATCTGTATTCCACATCCTGCAACCAACCCCCTCTTGAATAAAGAGTTGAGGCTACCTACCCCAGCATGCCTTGTTTCTCCTTCATCTGAGCAGAAGGCCAAAGACTTATTTTCTACAGATTTCTCCTTTTTCCAAAAAGGATATTTTAAACTAATTTACACCAAACAGAATGTAACTTAGCATTTCAGAATCTCTCTAAAATTTTTGTCTCAGACCTCAGTCAAGTGATTCTAGGACACCCATCTTCAGCAAATCCTTCATACATGAAATTTTCACCTTGCCAGCAACAACCGAGAGTACAGCACAAATTAAAAGTTTAGAAAGAAAATGATGCACCCAGCACCCTGTATCCCTGTTCTCTAGGCACGGAAGTTTTGCGTGTGGATTGGACCTTTGTGCTGGTTTTGTTCCTTGGGTTTGGAGGTGCACAAATCTCAAGTCGCACGAGACTAATCAAGGTTAACGTGATTTAAAATGCAGTGAGGGAAAATTCAGCTAGGCAAATTGAAGCACAGCAGCAGTCTTAAGATTGTTCATACTCAGAGCACAACAAACTCTTGAAATTCTTCTTAGGTCAGAGTAATCAGGAATGTTACTAGTGTCTCTGAAACTGAACACTTGAAGCATAACAATTCTGCTTTTCTGATACTTCATAGGAAACTAGCCTATGAATCAAACGTGGCAGGCCAAATATGTAGGAAACTTGCTGTATGTTTTGAACAAGACTCAGCATTTGTATTGTTTTCTGTGCAATTCCCTTCCAGAGAAAACACAAAGTTAGAAACATCTCCGAAGGTGTCAGTTCATGTCACAAAACTTCTATAAAACTGGCACAAATTTAAAAAATAGTCACTCATTTCTTGATGACTGGAATATTTTTCTAATATCTCTGCCTTT